CTGTAAAGTGCTTTCTCTTTTCTTGTAGAAAAGGCTACAAATGAATATAACACCAGTGAGGACTGGGGACTTATTATGGATATATGTGACAAAGTTGGAAGTACTCCTAATGGGTAAGTTGATTGGTGGTAGTTGGGTATGTCTGAATCCTTTCCCTCCAGTGTGCAGTATGTCTCATGCAACCTGTTACAAATAAATGTAAGGAAAAGGAGAACTTATTGAGGGCTGAGGTGTGAGGGGGAGCAGAGATGAAAGTAAAGTATCTTGAAGCTTAGAGCAAGTGGGAAAGAGCTGAGCCTGCAGGTTTAGTTTGCCCTTTGAAGGCTGGAGGAAACTTGCAGACAGTTGAAAACTGACCTTAGGAGTTCATTGTCTAAATATGGCACCATCTTAACAAAGGGTAGAACTCATTATTTGGGGAATTTCTACTTATGCTAGGCATTCCTAGTAGCCTTCCACCAGGTTAATTGGATGATAGCAAGTAAATATTAGACATAGTCTTGGTGACCAGTCACTGACTAATCATACTACTTGGATGAAATTTTTGTTAAACATGATTTTCCATCTCAAAATCAACTGTTCTGGGGGAGGAAAAAAAATAACCACCAGATAATGTTTTCGTCTTAGATTCCTTATGTTTCTCTGTTTTGACTAGATCTCACCATCTACCCACAAGCGTTCTACTTCCTTGATCAAAAACTGACAGTTCTTTCTGACTAAAACTTCCTGTCATTCCTTTTTTTTTTCCCCTTTCAGTTTTAGAAAGAAATTTAGAAAGAAATGATAGAGAGTGAGCTGGAAAGAAGATATGGCTCCCTCCTGAAGTCTTTGTGGGGTTCCTTTTATATAGAGTTCAGACAAGGGTTTAAGAACATTTGCCTGGTAGTCAATAGGCAGTCTCCAGGAGGAGGGCAATTTGAGATCTATGTCAACAGGTAAGTCATTTGCATTTGAGGAACCCAAAACACAAGCTTTGGGTGGACTCAAAACTAGAACCACCTCAAAACAAACACTGGCTGGGATCTAAGTATTCCTTACAGCTGTCTGGCTTCTTTGGAGCATCTTTGAGGTTAGCCTGACCTCTGCAGTCAGCTTTTGGATTTAGACAGTTTTCTAGCCACTTGTTAGGTTCAATAATATTAATAAAGGATTAATATTTCCTCCACAGTCTCTTCTTTTGTGCTTAAATTCCAACATTCTTGTATGAGTGAAAACATAATTACAGAAGTGAAAAGCTGGGTTATAATTTCAAAGGGAGTTCATTAACATAACTTTGCTCACTCGCATCCTCCTCACTGTGTGTGTTTTCTAGAGCCTGATAGAATCCCTTTAAGGAAGGGGCAGTGACTGGACTAGTGACAAACTTCTCCTAGCATCTCATAGTCAGCAGAGTCAGTTTGAGTCTCAGGGACTGTAAGTCAGAGTACTTAAACTTACCCTAGGAATTAAGCACACTGTGTGGCCATATATTTCCTTCAGTGTCATAAAAGTCCTTTAAGGACTTACATGTCCTTTAAGGAGACAAACCTTGTTTACCTATAAGTAAACTAAATCAGGTTGCAGATTAAACTACATTTAGAAGGTTCACCATGGACTGAGAGGAGAGATTTACAATAATCAAGAAAACTGCTCAGGGAGATCTTCCCTCCCATACACAGTTAGGTAGGGGAATAACAATCATTTTGGGGAGCTTACACTTCCCTTTGGCTTCTACCTGAGGAACATTAGGAACAATTAATATTTTCCAGAAGTTGAATTTTGGTCAGGTGAGAGCCCTTCTTATTCTTTACCCTCATCATGACCTCTAGTCCCTCTTCTCCTTAATACTTTCTCAGGTTATTACCCCTGTCCTCTACTCTCAAATCCCTCATTGCTGTATTCTTTTGCCCCTCATAACTTGCCAGACCTTTTCCCTAGATCAGGGGTGGAGAACCCGCAGCCTTTGAGGCCACATGTGGCCTTCTAGGTTCCTGGGTTCCGCCTTTTGACTGAGTCCAAGTTTTACAGAACAAATCCTTTAATTTAGGGGATTTGTTCTGTGAAGTTTAGATTCAGTCAAAGGGCCGAATTTGAGGACCTAGGGGGCCACATGTGGCCTTGAGGCTGCAGGTTCCCCACTCCTGCCCTAGACTATTCCTCCTTCCACTCTCCTCCATCTGTCCCCTTTACTTTTATAAACATGCTGTTGAATGGAGCTGGAGGTAGTCACATAACTTTTCTGACTGGGTCTGCCATACATTTTTATTTAACTTCAATTGGCCCCTCCCTGCAACAAGGCTGTCCTTTTATCCTCGTCTCACTCCCCACGGTAGCTTTCCTTAACTTTCTTTTTTCACCTCAAGTTTCCTATTTCTCCCTCTTCCCTGCTCTCTCAGCTGTGGACCTTGCCTCTTGTTTTACTGAGAAAATTGAGGCCATTAGCACTGAATTTCCTCTTCCTTTAATTAATCTCAAAATCTCTTTATTATCTCTCACTCTCTCCTCTCCTTTAGTCTCTGATAAGGAAATGGCTGTTCTCCATCTTCCATTAATCTCATTTTCTCCCCTCATGTCATCTCTAGCAGATTGCCCCCTCATTCATCCTCCAGTCCTTTCTCTGATCTTCAGCTTTTCTCAGTCAGCTGGTTTCTTCTCTATACCCTTCTCCCTCATCCTTAAAAAACTTTATTTGACCCTACTATCCTTTCCATTAGGATATTGTCCTAGGCCGATCTCTCTCTCTCCCTTTCTCAGCCATACTCTAAGAAAAAACTGCTTGTCCTCATTGCTTCTCCTCTTGTTCATCAGCTTTCTGCTGTTTGGCTTCTGACTTCATAACTCACCTGAAACTGCTTTTACCAAAGTTACTAGTGATCTCAACATTTCCACATTTGATGGTCTTTTCTCAGTCTTTATCCTTCTTGACTTCTGTACTGCATGTGACACTGTTAGTCATCTATTTCTTCCTCGTTCTGCTCTCTTCGAGGTTTTGTTCTGTTTTTGGGGGTTTTTTTACATTGTTTATTCCTTCTTAATCTTATTTGTTGCTCATGATTCATGTTATACCTCCTAAGTGTGGGTATTCCCCAAGGCTCTGTCTTGGGTGCTTTCTCTGTCTATTTCTTTTGGTAAACTTATCAGCTCATATGAGTTTAATTTATTACCTCTATGTAGGTGACTTAACATCTATATATTCAGCCTTAGTCTCTTTCCTTAAGGTTCCATGGCACTAATTACCTAACCTATTGGACATTTCAAACTCTAAATCCTGGTGACTTCACAAAAGCATCATGTTCAAGACAGAACTCATTATCTTTTCATCCCAAACCTCCTGTTCTCCCAAACTTCTCTTTTTTTAGTGAGGGCATCACTGTGCTTCTAGACTCCCAGTTTTGAAACCCTGGTGTAGCCTTCAATTTCTCAGTTAACCCACATATCCTGTCAGTTGCTAATAACATCTCTCACATCTGACCCCTTTGCTCATACAGCCAGCATCTTACATCAGGTGCTTATCAACTCTTGCCTAGAATATTGCAGTGGCCTCCTAATTGCTCTCCCTGATTCCAGGCTCTCCGCTGTAGTCCAATGTCTGTATGGCTGCTACAGTGATTTTCCTTAGTTAGACCATGTCATTCCCTAATCAGTAAACTGCAGTTTGACTTTTAGAGCCCTTTGCAACCTGACCCCAACCTATCTTTCCAGCTTCATTATATGTTATTCCCTTTCTAGTATTGTGTAGTTTAACCAAACTGGCATTCTTTTTGTTCCTCACCTGTGGTGCTTTGTCTCCTGTCCCTGGGCCATGTATTTCCTAACCTCCATACCTTCAGTGTGCTGTCTCTTAACCTCTGTTTCATAGAATTCCTCTCATCCTTCAAGTAGCAGTTCAGACACTACTCTCTACCAAAGCATTTCCCTGTTCCTCCAGTTGCTAGCACAGTGGATAGAATGCTGGGCCTGGGGGTCAAGAAAACCTGAATTCAAATATGGCCATAGCTACTTACTACCTGTGTGACCCAGGGCAAGTCTTTGCCTCCATTTCCTCATCTTAAAGTAGGGGCATAATAGCACTTCTGTCCCAAGATTGTTGTGAGGCTCAGATGAGCTAATAATAATGCAGCTATTATTTATGATTTAATTATTGTAAAGTACTTAGCACAGTGCCTGACACATAGTACGTACTATATAAATGTTAGCTATTATTATGTGTATATATTGTTTCCCAGCAGATTGTAAACTCCTTGAAAGAAGGTAGTGCCTGGTACATAGTAGGAACCTAATAAATGCTTGTTGATTAATTTGTTGTCTGGCTCTGTCAAAGATAATTATCCCTAAGCATTGTGATGAATACCCTAGGTTATGCTTACAGTTAGTAGTCTGTTAATAGCCAAACTCTTTTCAGTATTACAGCCATAAGAAAGACTAAAGAATTAACATAGAGGATGCTTTATTTGTAAGATAGTAATTACCTAAAATATGTTTTAAAAGCTTACTCTAAATTCATAATTCTCTTTGGACTGATTGGATTATGGGAAAAGATAGGCACATATATGCATTAACATACTTGTACAGAAATACTGAATTTACTTAATTAAATTTTTTCTCCATTTTTTTCCTAGAGCAAAAGATTGTCTGAAAGCTATAATGAAAAGGGTAAATCATAAAGTTCCTCATGTTGCTTTGCAAGCACTAACTGTAAGTTGAAAGTAGCTCATTATTTAATATGAATATTAAAAGTACATTTCTTTAAATATTAGAAATTAAAATTTATATTTAAAGTTATATTTTGAATATTATATTTCTTTTTAACAGCTTCTTGGAGCCTGTGTATCAAATTGTGGAAAGATATTTCATTTAGAAGTATGTTCTCGTGATTTTGCAACTGAAGTACGAGGAGTGATAAAAAATAAGGTAATTTTTGAACAAACAAGTCTTAAAGATACTGTAGTAAAATGGACTCCACCCCCCCCCAAAATACCCCACCATTTAAATCTCAAAACTTGTACGCATTTGATACATACCATTATTGAGGTGTAATTTTCATTGGCTGTGGGAGATTCGGCAAGATGCCCTTTAACATTTAGGTATCATCCTGAAAAATTTAATATCTATGTCAAAGACTTTGTCTCACAATTTATTTCTATCAGTGAGTAAAGAAAACAGTTTGTTTTAATAGTTCAGTATAGCAAACATTAAGCACCTGCTATGTGCAAGACACTGTGTCAGACATACTGACTACAAAGACAAAAAACTTTATTGTCCCTGCTCTGAAGAAACTTACAGTATAATTTTAGGGTGAAGCAGATGCAACATATACATGAATGAATATGGTAGAATGTGATGAGGTGAAAGAAGTGCCTAGACACAGAATTTGAGGAGCATTTGCCTAAGGAGAGATCACTTTCAGTTACTGTATCAGGAAAAACTTTGAAGAGGAGAGGTATCAGCAGGCAGAACTGAAGAGGGAGTATATCCCAGACATGAAGAATGGCCTACACATATGCCCTAACCTGGAAGTATCAGAGAGTCCTTGTTTTAATCCTACCTCTCTTAACCTAGCTAATGGTGCAGAGAAAGTGTTCCATGATCATTTTTAGCGAACACCAAAAGTTTTTACTCAAATTAATGTAATACAGCCCAGTAGCATTTATCTTAAGTATTTTTCCTGGAAATATGAATATAAAGTACAATTACTAAGAGGGTTACCATAAAAGATACATATTTCCTGTGATGAAACTTAAGAATCCATGTAATTTTGGAAGATACCGTAGCTTTTGTTTTCAGTTGGTTGATATTTAGCAAAAAGATGTGATGTATCAGTCAGCTACCTGAGAGAGACTGTAGACTTTCTCACGTTTAATATAAAAGACAAGTTTCATATTAAAATGGCTATATGTATATGGTCCATACACACACACTCACATATACACACACACACACACACACACACACACACACACACGAGATTCGTTGTCATTTGTAATTTATGTACACATCTGCAAGACTACAAAACTTGTTCTCTTTGCTGTCCTATCACGTAAAAGGCTCACCCAAAAGTATGTGAAAAGCTGAAATCTCTAATGGTGGAGTGGTCAGAAGAATTCCAGAAAGATCCACAGTTTAGCCTGATATCTGCAACTATTAAATCCATGAAAGAAGAAGGAATTACTTTTCCTTCAGCAGGATTGCCGGTAAATCTAAAATTTACTATAGTGATTTGTAGAATCTTTCTTATAGAAAAGCATAAAAATGGTTTAGAGAAATTGGAAAAATGTTTTTTGATTTTAAAAAAACCCAAAAAACAAAACCCTAAAGTAATATTAATGAATGCATGCTATGTTCCAAGTGCTACATATGATACAAAGAATAAGATAGCCTTTGCCTTTGTGGAGTTTATGGTCTAATTGGGAGATAGGGTATAGTCACATAAAAAGATAGCTAATATAAATCATTATATAGTAAATGATGAATTAGTGCCACAGATAAGAATGAGAACACTTCAAACTGGTAACCCAGGAAAATTTTGTGAAGGATGTTATTTGATGAAAGAATGGTGCAAACATTGGCATATCAGGAATGGCAGGTTGGCAACAGAGTCAGTGGTGGAGGGCAGTGTGTGTATTTGAACACCAAATTGTCAAAACTGAAGAGGGAAGTAAGGACAGTAACGAACTGGGAGAACAGGGAGGATAGAGGAACTTGATGTGTAAGTGTGAATGGAGACATGCATAAAAGGAATGAGGTTAGAGGGAGAGATGAAAAAGTTCAGGAGGTTATTATCAGAGGAATTTTAGAATTTAGAAGACATTTGACATTCACAAATATAGATGTTAGGAGGTATTTCACATGCATGAACTTTTTAGATCACAGAAGGTTTACCTCAGTAAGACTCAAAACTTGTTTATTTAATCATTTAAGATCAGGATCTTTCAAAAAATTTGTGACTTACTTTTTTTTGTCTTCTTAAATAGAACATACCTGAATCTTTTATTTTTGTTTTTTAAAATTTATTTATTTTTAGTTTTCAACATTCACTTCCACAAGATTGAGTTCCACATTTTCTCCCCATCTCACCCCACCCCCAGGATGTCATTCATTCTAAATACCTTTTCCCCTAATCTGTCCTCCCTTCTGTCTCTCCCCGCTTCTCTTATCCTCTTCCCTTTCTATTTTCCTGTAGGGCAGGATAGATTTCTATACCCCATTTCTTGTATTTCCTGTTTCCCAGTTGCATGTGAAAACAATGTTTTTAACATATGTTTTTAAAACTTTGAGTTCCAAATTTTCTCCCTTCCTCCCTCCCTGCCCACTGTCATTGAGAAGGCAAGCAACTTGATACAGGTTATACATGTGTAGTTATGCAAAACACTTCCACAGTAGTCATGTTGTGAAAAACTAACTACATTTCCCTCCATCTATCACCTTTGTCCTCCAGAATATTATATTCCATGCCCTGTGGTCCCTTAATGTAGAAGCTGCTAAATCTTGTGCTATCCTGATTGTGTTTCCATGATACTTGAATTATTTCTTTCTGGCTGCTTGCAATATTTTCTCCTTGACCTGGGAACTCTGGAATTTGGCTACAATATTCCTAGGAGTTTTCCTCTGGGGATCTCTTTCAGGAGGTGATCGGTGGATTCTTCTTTCCATTCCTACTTTGCCCTCTGGTTCTAAAATATCGGGGCACGTTTCCTTGATAATTTCCTGAAAGGTGATGTCTAGGCTCTTTTTTTGATTGTGGCTTTCAGAGAGTCCAATTATGTTAAAATTATCTTTCCTGCATCTATTTTCCAGGTCAGTTGTTTTTCCAATGAGATATATCACATTGTTTTCTATTTTTTCGTTCTTTTGGATTTATTTTATAGTGTCTTGGTTTCTCATAAAGTCACTAGCTTCCAGTTGCCCTATTCTAAATTTTAAGGAAGTATTTTCTTTTGGCCAGTTTTGCTTTTTAGGGCATTCTTCTCCTCATTGGCGTTTTGGACCTCTTTTGCCATTTGGGTTAGGCTATTTTTTAAGGTGTTATTTTCTTCAGTATTTTTTGGGCTCTCCTTTAGCAAGCTGTTGACTTGTTTTTCATGATTTTCTTGTATCACTCTCATTTCTCTTCCCAGTTTTTCCTTTACTTTTCTTGTTTCTCAAAATTCTTTATGAGCTCTTCCATGGCCTGGGACCAATTCATATTTTTCTTGGAGGCTTTGGATGTAGGAGCTTTGACTTTGTCGTCTTCTTCTGGTTGTATGTTTTGATCTTCTTTGTTACCAAAGAAAGATTCTGTGATCTGATTTTTTTTGCACCTTTGTTTGTTCATGATCTCAGACAATTACTTGAGTTTTAAACTCTTTGTCAAGGTAGGGGTCTGCTTCTAGTGTGGAGAATGTACTGTCCCAAGCTTCGGGGGTCTTGTTGCAGCTGTTTTCAGAGATGCTTCTAGGGACCTGTAAATTTTCAGTTCTTCCAAGGTGGTATGATAAGGGGTGAGGTGTTTACTCCTTTCCTGGCCTGTGCTGTGGTCTATGAGTGACCAGAAGCACTCTTTTCTGTCTTGGAACTGTGAGGATTTTCTCTGCACCACCACTACAAGCTCCACCACGCCAGCACTCCCCCTCGCCCGAGAACTGCCACTCAGATCTAAGCATGGGCAAAGCAAGAGAATCCTGCCTCAGCACCAGCAAAGAGATTCCTGCGCTCCCCCCTCTGATCAGCCACTTGATTCCCCCTCAGTCTGTGGGCCGGAAGCTCTGAAGGCAGCTGCTGCCCCGGGGCCACACTTGGGGACTGGGGCTAGGACTGAGCTTCTCTCTCTCACCACAGTCATAAACTTTTCCCACTGACCTTCTAAGTTGTCTTTGGTGTTCGTGGGTTACGAAGTCTGGAAACTGCCACAGCTGCCCGTGGTTCAGTCCTCTGAGGCCTGCTCCAGGTTCACTGAGGCTTGTTTTGCCTGCTTGCCCACACTACGCTGCGCTCTTCTTCCTGCCCGGTGCGATATACCTTTCTGATCAACCATCCAGGCTGTCTTGCGCTGGAAATTTGTTTCACTCTGTCTTTTTGTGGGTTCTGCTGCTTTAGAATTTGTTTAGAGCCATTTTTCACAGGTATTTGGAGGGGTTTGGGGGAGAGCTCAAGCAAGTCACTGCTTTTACTCTGCCATCTTGGCTCCACTGACCCTGAATCTTTTTCAAAATAACTTAAGAGTCATCGTTATGAACATGAATTATTGTACAATGAGTTCCTGAGAGCTGTTGAAATTTACAGGGCGGTTTGCTTTTAGCCAAGTGACTCCAACCTACTGGTTTTTGCCTCTTGTGTCTCTTTTTTATTCTTTCTCTTTCGTTCTTAGACTGTCCACTGTGTCATCAATGAGTCTTTTTCTAAGAGTCCTATATCCTTTCCTCTCTAGTCTCACCACAGGGATGCATCCTGAATGCTTACTTTCAGGCAAATCATACTAAATATGGATAGAGATACACTCAAAACAGTGTAATACAAAGTCTCTTGTCTCTAGGAAATGACAGTTTTGCAATGGAAAAAAATTTTTGGCTATAGGGCAGCAATAAGGATTATTGTGGGCAACTAGGTGGCACAGTAGCTAGAACACTAAGTTTGGAACTAGGAAGATTCATCTTCATGAGTTCAAATTCGGCCTTAGATACTAGCTCTGTGACCTTGGGCAAGTCAATTAATCCTGTTTGCCTCAGTTTTCTCATCTGTAAAATAAGCCAGAAAAAGAAATAGCAAAGCACTTCAGTATCTTTTCCAAGAACACCCAAATGGGGTCATAAAGAGTCTGATAACAACTGAAAATGACTTAAATGGCAGTAACATTATTGATTGTGTTTTAGAATTATACTGGAAAATAACTTAGTCATTGTCAGGAACTTAATTTGTAATGAAAAAAATGATTATGAACGGTGAACTTGAAAAAAATCAGTATTAAGTAATTTGAGAATTTTCATTTTCATTTTAAATTAATTTTCATATTAAAAGTATTTAATTTTCATTTTAAAAGTAGCTATGTTTATTTTGCCCTTGTCTTTACAGACACTTTCAAATGCTGCCAAGAATGGTACATCATCCAACAAAAGCAAA